AGCAGCCTTTGGTTGTCCCCAGAAATAAGATTTTCCAGCCTCAGGCAGAGCAGAACTGTGCTCACTGGGGTGGAACACCACAGTATTTGCTTTACTTTTGTAACCTGGCTCATAGGTCCTGCCAGTCAATGCTTTAACCCTCACCGAGGCAGAATAAACCTCAAGGTTTTCTCCTCCGTTTGAGCACCCTGACAGCACAAGCAAGGTGCTGGGAGGGTGTGTGGCTGGGGTCGGCTGGGTCTCCAGGTGCTGTTGGGATGTGCTCAGCCCTGTCCAGCCTCTCATGTTGGCATCGTGGAAGAAAAGCAGGCTCTGACGAAGCCCTGGGTTTCCTGCATCCCTGGCCATGCCTTCCCTTGTTCTGCCCCACAGCAGCAGAGGAGCGGGATCCTCTGGCACAGATGGGGCAGCAGGTTCCCAGCCCAAAATGGAAGGATTTGGGGCCAAAAACAAAGCAAGAAGGTGCAAATTCCTCCCCTCCTTCCCCATGAAACAGCCACTCGCACTCTGAATACACTCCTGAGCAAAGCACTCCATGATCAGAGAGAAGAGAGTTTCACCCCACTTGTCCTCAACCCAAGTGCTTCTTATGGCCACCCCAATGCCCTTTGGCTGTGCCAGCTCAAGGGTGTACATGGCCACCATCCAAACAGGAGATGACCCAGTGTAAAAAGAAAGGGGGCTGCTGAGAGCAGGGAGACACAGGGGAACAGGGAATGCAGAGGGACAGGGCTGCCTGGGGCACTCCAGGGTGCTCAGGGTGAGGAAGAGGAGGGCAGACCATGGGACAGGAGAGGGGTCACCCATGCTGCACGTGCCAGGGCCAGCACACAGGGGAGCATGGCCACCCCTCCACCGGCAGCTCCATCGTGGCAGCCCTCCCCACACCACCGCTCCGGCCCTGGTTTCAATCATCCCTCGATTACACACTGTTTGCTTTTGTTGACAGCACATTTACTTGCACTTGTCAAGCATGCTGTAAAATAGTGAGAGAAACGGCCCTGCCCTTCCCTACCAGAAGAACGGCCAGGAAGGGGCCGGCTGGTCCCTCCCGGCCACGCACCCATCGGTGGCTCATTCCCAGCACCAGAGCCGGTGCTGCCAGGAAGAGCCGGGGTGCAGGATCGATCCACGCCTGCTCGCACCGTCAGCAGCCACGGGAGAGAGACTGGGGCCAGGCTTTGAAAAGTGCCGAGGATCCACCACCTCCCTTGGGGAAGAAGGGCAGCACGCATGCTGGACTCCCAAAATCCACACCACCAAGTGTCCATAATTATTTAGCTTAAGGATAATTTACATCTGTCAGACACAGCCAGCCATCCTCTCCGAGGTAATCTCAGGTCACAGAGTCAGGAGGAAGAGCAATCAGCCGTTCTGAGTGTGGAAGACACAAAGAAACAAGCAGTGAGAATCAGAGGGTGGTAGCAGGGTGGTTATAAGCACGGTGCTGTGCCACTCATCTCTTCCCCAGCAGCCAAACTGGTTGGAGCAGCTCCAGCCCCTGCTCCGCTGTTTCCCATCTCTTCAATCGTGCTAATGCAATTCATCGCGGGGCCGGGCTGGAAACAGGAGCAGTGCAGCGATGCAAGGTTAAAAAAAGCACCGCGCTCTGCGCAAATGGTCATTATTCGGCCAAGGAGGCAGCCTCGCTAACTCGATTAATTCATAAAGCCGCTCTCGCTATAATCACATTGTTGCTCCTCACCAGCCCCAGCCCACCTCCAGGCTCCACGCCTCCCCATCAGGGGACGTTTGTCACCAAGCTGGGTCACCCTGGCGATGTGTTTTGCAGATCCTTGCTCAGCACAGCCAAGGGGTAGGGAGCAGCCTCCCAGGGCAGACCCAGACCCAAGGACAAGAGTGGGGAAGGCTTTGCAGAAGGAGAAAATACCCACAGAACAACTTCTGTGACCTTCTGCAGCAGGGACAGGTTTACCACGCAGTCAAGTTCAGCCAAGTCTCATAGTGGCAGCACAGAAGCCACTGGAGCTCCACATCCACCACATCTCTTGGACACCAGGGATGGAGAGTGGGACTGCAGCAACAGCCACAGTTATCCCTGGAGCTCCTCATGGACCATCCCAGCTGCATCCCTCATGGCTTTCTCTTCCCACATCTCCAAAGGTGCATGGATGCTACATGCACCACACACTTGAGTGTCCCAGAAACCAGCAGCTTTGCTCTAAAACTGGCTGCTCTGAAGGCAGTGTCCATGCCAACACACGGGTGCATCCTCCAGGCTTGACACTGTCCCCCCACGAGACACTTCTGGAGGTGGTGACAGCCCTACAGAGCCGTGTCCTTGAGCCAGAAGTATCTCCCCACCCTCAGTGCTGCCCTACCCAGGCATGGCTCAGGGTACCTTAAAGCACAAGAGGAGCCATCCCAAAACCCAAAATCTCTCTGATTTCCCACAACTCCAAGAATTTGGCACCATACAACTTTCACCCATCAGTTCAGCCAGTCCAACCCCTCCTTTCCAGATGTGACCATCCCACCGGGGATCCTCTACCCCATCGCAAACCATCTGTTCTGGGAAGGACTCGGCATTAACAGCAGCATTAACACATTGGAGGGAGACCTTTTCCCAGCTCACACGCTGGTGCAGCAGCCACAGAGGCTGCTGAGGAGCTGCTCTCTGCTCAGACACTGCCCCTGTCTCCAGCTCCAGTGCACAGCTGGCACATGACACCACAACACACCACACATCTCTGCCTGGCACCACGGCTGCACCGGCCCTTCGCTCCTGTTGCACGGCAAAGCCCGCAGACCCTCAGCTGGGCTTCAGCTGTGGCAAGATGAGCAGCCTCTTGCCAAATTGGAGCAGTTTTGAAGGCTCTGCAAATCAGATTCCCGTCTGGAGCAGAAATCAGCCAGGCAGAGGCTGCTATTTCCAGCTTTGTCTGTTCACAGACACTGTTCTGTTTCATTAAACAGCCCTACTATCAAATGACTTGTAAGCAACAAGCAAAGCTAATGGATCGCTTCTCCCTTGCAAAAAGTGACTGATTTTCCTCCTGTTGCACCGGCATCCCCAGGGACGTCTGCCCGACAAACCAGCTGTGGCACAGACTGGTCACAGCAGCCAAAACCACAGCTCACCCATGTCAGGCTTCTGCCCACGGCCACCCACCCTGCCCCGAGCCTGCGCGTCCACTGAGCATCCTCACCTGCCCACTCATGAGCTGCAGCCTCATGCGGGGCTGCTGCCCCTTCCCCGTGCTGTTGCTGCTTGCAGTTGAGGATTGGGTTTGCTTTAAAACTGCAGCCTGGGCAGTTTATACCTTGCTGGGATGGGGAATGGTGCTGTGAACTCAATTAAGTGCCTGGTGGTTGCTCTCATGCTCCTTTTCTCCCTCCCGCCCTGCATCCCACCAGTGGGATTTCCATCAGCTTTGGCAAGCCAAGACACAAGCCCATTGGCACAACCTGGGGCAACACTGGCTCTCCATGGCACACAGTGAGCCGCTCTTGACTACTGAGGCACAGAAAAGCTTTGGAAAGGTTTGGGTTGTCTGCTAGGGTATTTTTTCACCTGTACAGTAGCCAGGCCCCTTGAATAGCACAGGGAGCAGACACTGCAGGGCTTTGCAGACAGCCAAAACCAGAGATAGTCCTGCACCCTACCCCCACAGCCTGGGGTGGGGAGGGCAAACAGCAACATCACCCAAAAAGCCAAACACACCCTGGAGCATGTATCATGGTGGAGAGCTGCCAAGATCCCGCCCTTTTCGGATGCTCAGGTGTGAACGTGTCCCTGCACAGCATTGCCCCAGCCTGGGACCCTCTGCTGTGCCAGCAAGCCATATGGCAGGGAAATGAGAGACATGGCAGGGTCTTGTCACCTGAGTGAATTTGCTGCCTGGGGCTATTTGCATTTCTAGAGGTTTGGTTGTTAACTGGGTTCTCAGGCTTTTTCTGCTGTTGCTATTTTAGTATGTCTGAAACGTGCAGGAAAAGGAATCCGGAGGCTCTGTCTCCTGCGGAGATGTTTGTGCTGACCCAGTTTGGGAGGCTGCACAGCAAAAGCCACATCGCTCTGCCTCTGGATCCAGGAGCAGCGCAGCCGTCTGCTTTTGCCCACGTGTAGGGCGACAACGAGTCGCCTGCCTTCACACCAGACCAGACCACACACCAAGGCTGTATCCACACATTGACATGGGGCAGGAGCTCCTCCACCAGCCCAGTGGGGTATCTGGGTGGTTTAAGCTCTTTAAACACTCAGCACAGCGTGTTTCTCTTCTCCCAGAGCAGGGGGTCACCCACGATGGTCCGAAGCCAGTCCCCGAGGGACGAGATGACTCCAGCAGAGATTGCCACTGTCCCAGACAGCTCCTCGGTGGCAGCCCCAGCCCCGAAGCCAGGCAAACAGGAGATGTTAACTACACCCACGCAGGGCAGGGCAGGCGTGCCTGACGGTGCTTCAAACCCACCCCACACACACATTGCTCTTGCCAGTGCTACTGAGACAACACTCTGGGGCCATCCTGCTGGGAAAAGAGCTGGGGCTGCCTTGCTAGGTATGAAAAGCAGCACTCATCAAATGACCTTTCAGTGCTTTGAGGCCATCTGTGGGGCTCAGATCAAATGCTCGAGCCCATCTGAGTGCACAGAAGGGGCAAATCTCCGCACCGCTGCTCCCATGACCTCGGCCTTTTAATCAGGACCCAGAGATCACGGCTTGAACCTTTCCGTCTGCATTCAGTCCTACTCTGGGGCTGAGCTCTTGGCGCAGGCTGCACACCGGGCTGCGTGGCCTCAGCTGTCCAAATAGAGATGCTAGGAGGCATCAGGAGCAGCCCGCTCACTGGAGCCAGCCTTGACTGGAGTCGGCAGATGCAAACGCAATAATTGCTTCCCCGAGCAGGGCAGGAAGCTGCAGATACAGCAGTACATTAATACAAACTCGCTCCTCACCTGGCAAAAACACAGCTTCCAGATCAGCTCTCCTGGCAGGAGCATCACCGGAGCAAAGCCCCCTGCTGCAGGCAGAGCCCTGCCATGCTCCGAGCGGGGTTTTCGAGCTCCCGAATGGGTCGCTTACCTTGTTCTCCGTAGGAGCCGATGCCGGATGTTGCTGCTTGGTGATGTTCTCAGCCAGACACCAGCAGATCCTCTTCTTCTGCTCCTGGGAGTAAGCCTCCAAACTTAATAAGCACTCCGACTTCTGACGTAAAGGAAACACAGGCAGAGAGAAGGTCATTAGCTGCGTGTCGCAGGCCCCAGCTTTGTTTGCAAACTACTTGCTTCCAACACACTGCATCAGATGGATGGGAGTATAACAGGAGAGCTCGCACCCGTGTCCTGCGCTCTGAAGGGAAAACAGACAGGAAACCGGCTTCACACTGAAATCTCCTCCAGACAGAGGACAAACGGCTGCTGCGGTGCAGAACAGCAGATTTCTGCTTTAATAAGCAGGAGCAGAGCGGTAAGGCACGGGCAGAGCACCAGCAACTCCGCACCCTGTGCCACCAGAGTGGAAACGCGCCTGTTAGGCTAATCCAGGGGCTGGAAATCGCTCTTTGCTGTATGCGAAGATGGGAACTGCTGAAAACCAGCACCTCTGGGCCGGGAGGAAGGCAGACCCCAGAGCAGACCCAGAGCAGTCTCACCTGCTCTGCTCCTTACATACAGAACCCAGCAGGGGCTGTTTTGGGGAGGATGCTCCAGCCCTGGTCACGCACTGCCTGTGAGCAGCATGAGGTGAGGAGGAATTGAGAGAAATGATGGGATTATGCACATTGCACTTTAAAAAGGGTCTAAAAATGCCATGGCTGGATCATCACGTTCTGTAGCCAAATATGAGAAGGAAAAACTAAAACCAAAAAGCAGAACTTTAGGACAAAACTGTGAAGAAAATAATAAAAAAAAAAGCGTTTTCCACTAAAGGGCATGAATAAAGCCTTTCATTTCCCCCTAGGATTTCCTTCCAGAAGGGCAGGTCTCCGCTAGCCTGATTTTCCCAGAAGGGTCAGAGAGAACTAAGGAACTTCCAGCTTTGTGACTCCAGAGACACAACACGACCAAAAGGGAAACGCTTTTTAGTCACACCATTTAAACCACTGTTTTCATTGGACGCTAATTCATTCACATTTAATCCAAAATCCCTACTAAAGCGGTAAATAAACCAATATCCCACATCGCCACTAGAAAAAGAGATCTCTAGTTCAGCCCTTCGCCCCTCCAAGGAGACTTCCAGGAAAGAGGGAGTGGAGCATCTCCTGCTGAGGAGCGGCTGAGGGAGCTGGGGCTCTTGAGCTTGGAGCAGAGGAGACTGAGGGGTGCCCTCATTCCTGGGGATCCATTGGGAAAGGGCAGTGTCAGGAGGAAGGAGCCAGGGTCTGCTCTGGGATGGCCAATGCCAGGACAAGGGGCAATGGTCCCAAGCTGGAGCACAGGAGGTTCAAGCTGAAGATGAGGCCAAACTTTGTCAGTGTGAGGGTTATGGAGCATGGCCCAGGCTGCCCAGAGAGGTTGTGGAGTCTCCTTGTGTGGAGACACCCAAAGCCCTGGCCGTGTTCCTGTGTGACTGCTCTGGTGATCCTGCTCTGGCAGGGGTTGCACTGGGGGAGCTTTTGAGGTCTCTTCCAACCCCTGATAGTCTGTGATTCTGTGAGAAGGTTTGACCTTTCTTATGTCTGGACACCACCACATCTATTCCTACAGCAGAAACAGGCTTAGTGAGCACTACCACAGTGGAATCAAGGTTTGTGATGCAGCGACACAAGGTGGCAAGGACTCTCCCTTGCCCCCCAGACCCTGAATTGCAGTGATGCTCTGAGCATCCCCTGGAGCATCACAGTGCTTGTTCTCATCCCAGACATCTCCATCTCCCCCGGTCCCATGCCAGCCAATAACCAGGCTGCACCACTGTGACACCCCTGGGAAGTACCCAATCGTTCCTGGTCTCAGAGGAGAAGACAGGGACCAATCTGTCGGGCTGGAAATCCCAGCCGGCATTTCCCTGCCCCACACTTAAAGGCAGAAGCAAATAACAGCAAGGACACAGCAGAGCCTAAAAGACCTCAGTGCAGCTGCAAGGAGCCCAGAGCCCACAGCGATGCTGCAACCACTGCACTTCCCCTCCCCAGCAGGAGGCTTAAAGCAATTCCAAGGGCATCTTGGAGCCTCTTGCTCATGACGGATGCGCAGCTCACCTACCCCTGCTCTGCAGCCCCTTGCTGATTCAATTACAGGCCCCATCTCTTTGATTGAATTTATCATAAAGCGATGCTCAGCCCACGCTGGCTGTTGAGAGCAAAGTGCCCCTCTCCCTCCCACTCAGCCAGCGAGACGCCCGGCCCCGGCAGCCTGGGAATATTGAAGCCAGGAGAGGAGATGGCCCTCTGGTCCAGAAGTCAGAGGAGAAAGTCAACCACCTCAATGTGTGCCCTGGGTATTGCAGGCAAGGCTGAGGGGGAACACTAACAGCCAAAATTACATTTATTCAATCTGCACGTATTTTTCTCTGCTACAGCAGCAAGGTCTCAGTGCCTTATTCGTTCACAGTGATATTTAACCTCTCCAACACACATTTCCCTGGGGAAGAGCTCTGCTTCTTCCTCTTCCATTAACCTGTTCCCCTCAAATAATGTGCAACTGTGTTGTGGACAAAACCAGCCCAACCCAGAGGGGCTGAGCACCCCCGGCTCCCTCTAACGCACAGGATCCTGCTCAAAAAGTCCTTCAGAATCCAGCCAGACGGAGAGCAGACACAGCTGACCATTACATGGGATAAAGCCCTATCAGTGGCACCAGCTCCTGCTCAGTTTGGCAACCCCAGGCACCAGGAAGGTGGGCAAACACCGTGCCCACACCATGCCCCATGCACACTGCCTCGCTCAGGGCTCACTCTGGGAACCAGCCTCCCCGCTATTGTTTTCATTCAGGGAGGCTGCCACTTCGCCTGCCAATATTTACAAAGAGAAAACAGGGTTTAATCTCGCAGCGCTGGGAAAGGAGGATGCAGATGGCGTGAAGGGGGCGTTTGCGACCAGATAAA